ACAGCCTTGGAGAATGCTATAGATCATAACAAGCATGAAGATTCTGTTTGCTCTGAGCAAACAAAACTTGATCCACTTATTACCACTCAAAACTTCCTGAGAGTGACATGAATGGTTAAACATTTTTAAATGATTTCCTCTATATATCAAATACCCAAGAAGGATGAATGATCCTATGAAGGCAGATTGCTGATCAGGAACTGAAAATGCAAATGTGTAGGGAAACAAGGACCTGCTTTGTATAAAATTCCCAGCATATTATGGGTATCTATATATTTAAGACTACTATCCCGTCTCCCAGGCAACTTTCTTCCTTACTCCGTTTTATACTGTATGAGCTCCTTAATTCCAGAGGATACATCTCCAAAGATCTCACAGAACCAGAATTCCAAAAATGTGGAATAATAGACCTCATTATTATTTCTGAAGATTAAATAAGATGATATCTGGCCTGAAGTGAACTCTCAACAAATGTTAGTTGTTATTCTTACTCCTGCAGTCCAGTCTACTTTCCTTCACGCACAGAGGGTGTGAGGGCAGGGCGCAGGGGGAGGATCACTCCATTTCTCTCCGCAGGATCACCTCCAGACTAGTTACATGGCTGATTTCACTTCTTGATATGAAGGACAATACAGGGAGACTTGCCTAACCTAACTATAATTCAGGGTGGACTGAGGATAGCAGTGTATCATTCCTGACCAAACCCCAAAGACAAAAATAACATCAGAGCCAAGCAAGCAACATGTCCAAGAACCAAGTCTAGAAGCCAAGGCTCTGGATCTGAGGAATTTTAACTGAAAGCAAAGCCAAGTCCAGATGGGAAACTGGACACAAAGCAAGGTTGTCATGGGAGCCATCACTGAAGGAAAGAGAGAAAGAAGGGAAAATAAGGATTAATTCAGAAAACAACAAGTGACCCACTACTTCTGGTTTATATTAAGTCTCTCAAACTGAAGGTAGAGGATTCTGCATGGTAAAGGTAACGGTGGGGAGTAGTCAACGTTTAATAACTTTCAGATTCAGTTCCACATTCTAGAGTTAAACCTGAAGTCTATTTTTGCTAAACTGACAAATATTCAGTTAACCATCTTATTCAAAAAACCCAGCTTCTCCCCTTCGTCCTACTCCAATGTAGCTATATTTGTGCACTATTCTCTGATCTTGAGGTTTAATTCTGGTAATACCTCCATTATCTGGTGTCCTTCTAGAATGAGTGCAGCAGCCTGCCAATAAATAATCACCTGGAATATTCATTATCATAGACAAAGATTTCTGATGTTGCTATTTTTTATAGGACTTCCAAATATGGCCAAAGCTGTGTTTACTGTCACTTTGCTGTACCTCGCTGATGCAACGTGAAACATTAATGACTGCCTGGAAAACTTCCAACTAGAGTGGCATTCACAAGGATACTTGTCAACCACGTTATTCTATCAAGATCTATGGTAAGATCAAATCTCCTGGTGAAGAATCTGCCTTTGTGGGTAAATATACTTCTAGGTTAATTATCTCCCTTGCAGTTTTGCCCTATAGCTGTGTTGTCTCTTCAAACAGCTTCATCATAAAGGAGGTAAAGCTCAAAGTGTTGGACCTAGGTAAGGTTCTGGGAGCTGGACTGGGCAACCAGATTGGTTTGGAATTCTCCAACCACAGAGGATAAAGACAAGGAAAATTCCTAATACACTGCCCAGAGAAGAAACTGGAAATGTAAGGCAAGTAGATAATCCAACCAACTATTCAAAGTAGTAACTGGGAAGAGATGAAGAATTCAAGTGAGCAACTAGGTTTAGAATGTACATCTGGGTGCTGAACCTCAAAATTTTCTCTGAATCCTGAAGTAGGAGGCCTGAGTTCTCACCCATGATTTAAAACAATGCTGTGCAAGGCACCAAGTAAGTTTGAGAAATATGATCGATTGGGCATCTGTATTGTTAAGACACTAAAAGATAAACATTTGGTGCTAAAGAAGCTCTAGCCAAGACTCTTCATACAATATCCCTCACCAGATGTAGTTGTGTTACACAGAGCAATTGGAGTAGCATTTATTTACAGATGACTTCAAAATGTTTTAGACACTCTATGAGGAAAACAATAAATAGTGCTTCTATTTTTGTGAGGTTTCAAGTTACTAAAAATGTTAAAGATAGGGATGAAGAAATGATAATTTAGGATCTCCTCTCTTCAAAACTGTCCTTTCCTATCACTGAATTTGTTATTTTATGTATTAAAAACCATTATGCAGAAACAAATCCTTTACTACACACGTGTGCACGGGTGCACATGTGCGTGCACACACACCTACATATTTTGGGAGAATATTTTGGAGCAACTTAAAGATAGCCACTCCAGCTACTCATTTATGGAGTTGAAGACTGTGACAACATCTTTTATGGAATTGAAAAACAACAACAGCAATAATAATGAGTGATGAATTCCAGAAGGAAGCAAATTTCATATTCTTAGAGGACTATATAACTCTAGAATTGGAAGAGATCTTGGAGGTCGTCTATCTGAACTCCCAGCCTTTTCTATAACATCCTGTCGGATCACAGCTCTGCAGTGTAGTGGACATAGTTTCCAGGTTTTGTAGGGTCCGTTCCATTTGTTCCCTTCCCAACAGTTCTCTGAATGTCCCTGCCATGCTGCACAGATTGTCACTGTATACATACCCTTGGAAACAATTCAGATGTGTGAACCAAAGAATATCCTTGATTGCTTAATTACCTTATTGGGATTTCTACCTGACCCATGCAACCTGCATTTAAACACAGTGACTCCCTAATAGAAGGATCTGACTCCCTAATAGAAATGCCCATTCAGGTGTTTGTTTTGTTTTGTTTTTATTTATTTATTTTTATTGCTGTGACATTGGTTTATAACACTATATCAATTTCAGGTGTACATCATTATATTTCGATTTCTGTGTAGACTACATCACGTTCACTACCCAAAGACTAACTACTGTCTGTCACTGTACACATGTGCCCTTTTACTCCTTTTTCCCTCCCTCATTCTCCCTGCCCCTCTGGTGACCACAAATCTGATCTCTATATCTATGTGTTTGCCTGTTGTTGTTGTTTTTATCCTTCACATATGAGTGAAATCATATGGTATTTGACTTTCCCCATCTGACTTATTTTGCTTAGCATAATGCCCTCAAGATCCATCTATGTTGTCCAAAATGGCAAGATTTCATCTTTTTTTATAGCTGAGTAGTATTTCATTGTGTGCATGTGTGTGTGTGTGTGTGTGTGTATACACCACATTTTCTTTATCCATTCATCCTTTGATGGTTTGTTTTATTTTTAATATAACTCTAAGTAATAAAACCTTCTGTCTTTTAATACACCAGAATCCGATTCATGTTTTTAACTTCTGCAGACTGATCCTTCTGTTGCTTTGCCACCTGTAGAATGCAGAACGAAGCCTACTTCCTCTTAATTCATTGTAGTCAAAATCATTATAAAATGTGCAAGCAAACTTCATTAACTCAGATTTTTCACCTACTCATAAAATCACCAGCTATATTTTCTTTTTGATTCAGCCATGCCTTAAACTCCAGATCGAATTGTTCTACACATTTTGGCAGATCATGGTACCAATTTGCATATAGACTGCTTCATTTCAAAACAGTAGGTTTGATGCCGCCCATGAACAACAATGTGTGGAGCAAGGTGCTGTCCAGATTGATTTTCCTGAAGAACTTATAGAATTTCACCTGTAATGATAACTCTTGTATGCAACAAGAAGCCTTAGGAAAATGATTATTTTTTTGAGTCAACAAATAATATATATTGCAGTTATGAAAACAAGTCATAGCACATATTTTTCAAATTCTTAGTTCTAAATTCCAACTGAAAAATTTCTTTAGTATTTACCAAAAGGTATTTACACAGTTACTAACAAAGCGGAGAAGGATCCTAAGGGTTCTGTTTTTGTCCTTGTTGCCGGACACAAAAGAAAGGTAAAACCTGTACTCCTTGGTTTTAGACTCTTTTACAGTGAATGCTGGAGTAACATGTATAACACTCATTCAGGCAAAATCCTGGCCTAAAGAATGCTGCTTATCTGGTCTGGCCACCCTGTAAACCAGTGTTTTACCAGTTTTCATTGTAGAGCCATCTGGCTCAGATATTTATCTATCATATGCTTTGATATGTTCTGAGTTTTATATAGTTCTGAGTTTTCCTTTGTTTGTTTTTATTCTTTTTGAAGCTGCTTTATTCCCGTACTATATAATTCACTCCTCTTAAGTATAGCATTCAGTAATTTGTAGTAAATTTACAGAGTTGTGCAACTGTCACCACCATTTAATTTTAGAACTTTTCCATGACTCTTTAAAGACTCATGCGCCCATTTGCAGTCAATCTCCATTCTCACACTTAGCCTCAGAAAACCACTAATCTGTCTTCTGTCCCTGTAGATTTCCTCTTTCTGCACAATTCATATGAGCAGAGTCATACAATATGTGACATTTTGCATCTGGCTCTTGATGGGTTCTTTAACAGTGACTTTTAAATGGCAGTAAAAGTATTAATTGAGAATGACGTGGCAATCTTCCCTGTCTTGAGTTCCAGCCATTTGAAAAATATACAGAAAGAGCCAAATGAAGAGAAAAGCACATTATTAGCCAAAGATTTTAGTTTGGACACTCGAAGAGAATCAGTGCTCTTTTTATCAGTGTGGCAGTGTGGGCTGTCTCTCTACCCTCACCCCCAGGAATGGGAGTAAAGCCTTTGGAACTTCAAAATTGAACTAAAGAAACTCTGGCTCTTTCACATGTCCCACTTTTCCCAAAGACTTCAAATTGGCAAAGAGGACACATAACAGCACTGGCATCCCTCACACAAGATTTAGAATGCACAAGGAATAATCTAGGCTATGGGGGCTAGCCCATAGCAAAAGCATGCCTTCAGAACCCAGTATATTGTTCAATCCAGATACATATTTCTGATGAAGACAAAGCCGGGATGTAAACAGAGAAAGAAATCAAGAAAACATTAAAGAAAGAGAAAAATCTTTATTTCAGCCATATGTTTGTAATCCATGATCCGGAAATTTAACCACATGTGGGAAAATTTTTGTGACACTGTGCCTCCCACATTCAGGGCAGAAAGCCATTTCTACAGTGATCTGTGTTTCAGACAGTAGCATTGAGCCCTCTCCTATCTTCTTTGAAACATGTAGACACTGCAATGGTCAGACGCCCAGGCTATAGGACTTACTTGAGACTCTTTTCTTGCCTTGCTGTCTCCCCACACATGCAGAACAACATCATTTCCACATTCACCTTTAAGTTTTGCATTTCCAGCCCTCCAAGTTGAACTGACCCTGAACTCTATCCAGAAGGGAGGCATTCCATGATTATAACAGGAAAATTTTAAAAAAAAAAAAAAAGCTAAATGCCCTAAATTCCATGGCTGCTATATTTTTCTACCTCCATCTCCATTAAGACCACAAGTTATTTTTGATTTTTCATACCATACACATTGTCTATTACCATGGAGCTTGTCTCATAAGGCCACTAAGGAGTAATTATCTGAGCAGGCACTCTTACCTCAGTGCCTACACATTTCCTTGGTCCTAGTGTGATGTCACTCAATGAGCCTATGCTTTCAGACACCAATGAGATCTCTGCTACATGGTTTCTCCTCAAAACTTTTCTCTTCCTCACCAGTTAATTCACTTAAGTATGCATAACCTTCATTACTCTTTTGTCACTCTAAATTCTAACTTCTGTAAGATAATAGTTATTTTCACCCTGACTTACAAGCAGGAGGCAGGAGGAACAACAGAAAAACGAACTGGAAAACTAGGTACCGAAGCAAAGCCTGCCCGTTATTTCTCTCTAGTTTTCATGGCCAGGGTTGGCTCTGGCAGATCATTGGAGAAGCGAAGCTGCTATTCTATGTTAAGCTTTCTAAGAGAGACTGCTAATCCAAGGAAAGAAATCTCTCTCTCTGCTTCAGAGCAGGTCTCTCCTATTTCAAGTGCTTGGACAAAGCTTTCTTAACCTTTGGGAAGAGTTCTCTTGCTAAATACAGCCTTGAAACTGTGTCTGAGGTCAGCATATTCTGCTGTACCCCTGCAGCCCCGTAGCCCAAACTTTAAAACCAGCACATGCTTGTTAAAACCAGTTTCTGACCAGTGAACACCAGCCACTGCAGCTAAACAGAGTCATCCATCCTCCAATGGGATGATTCATTCCTCAAATGTTAATCCTATTCTTAAAGAATAGAACCATGTGTTACAAAGGGAGGCACTAATCATTCCTGTATGATCTCCCACAAACTCTAGTCAACTGAAAAACCACACAAGTGTTCCAGTGGTGTAAGCTTACAGTATCAGCCTAAGGCCCAGGTGGAGGATATGGAGCAGAGAGACCTGAAGTCTTGGTTCTGCTAGATTGAAGCCCAGTTTTTTCACTTCATGGAGAATGGAAACAACATAAACCCTCACTTAGCTGGGGAAAGAGTAAACAGTACCAAAAGAGCAAAAAAAGACAGATTTAGTAAAGTACTACCTATGTGCCATTCTCTTTAACATGAATATGAACTTTGGACAAGTTACTCTACCTCTAGGGGGAGGAGTAAGTAAAAAAACAGAAAAGACAGACATTGCCTCTTTGCATTTTCTCAATTGACTGGAAAGATTGGTGAAAATTCTCTTATTTATGGGATAAAGTAAATATGTGAGGAGAAGAGGAAAAACGGGATACTTCCTAGAGTCTGGACTCACTCTGCGAAATTGTAACTTCATGTCATTCACTTGGTTTAGTAATAATAAACTGAAATTTAAGAAGTTTACTATGGTGGTTTGAGCACATGCTCTTAAGCTGTACTGTTCAAAGCCCAACTCTGCCACTTAGCATCTGAACAACCTCAGACAAACCATTTATCCAATTTAGACTCATTTTTTTTCTGTAAAAAGAGGATAATAGTGGCAACTTTATAGGCACGAAGTCAAATAGTTCCCATAAAGTAGTTAGCAAAATGCTTAACATGCTCGCTATTTTTATTATATGTGACAGGTACAAAACTGTATAATAATAATAATTAATCCCTTGTCATTAAAGAATTAGCATAGCTCTCAGTAGTATCTCTTATCCAAGATGATTATGCCTCCTTTATTGTCAACTATTGCTGTTAGTTCTTATTTTCATTTACTGATAATTCTCAGTCTTTGTATCTCCATTTGGCCCATGTCATTGCAAAGAATACTTGCTCTTCCAAATGCTCTGCAAAATATCTTTTCTGAAGTACCCTAGAAATAGATTTATAGCTCTCTCTATCTCTTGGAAAGTTTCTATATTTCTACCATGCTGTGATTCCAAGAGGAGTTTTTATAGTTATGATCCTTTTGTCATGAAAAATGACTTCCAGATTAATGCCCTTGAGGAAAGGATTCCCAGTTGGGTAGAGTCATGGTTTCCATGATTCTTCCTGCATATTTCTACCAAAGAGTTTCTCTCGTAACACAGGTTTTTGCGCTTAACTATTTCATGTCTGCCATATAAGCCAGTTCTCAAAACACCGTCCATGGGCCAGCTACAGTAGAATCACCTGGGGGAAGCTTTCGAAAATTTTAGGTTCCTAGTTCTCACTTCCAAAGATTCAATAGGTCAAGGTTGGAGGCAAGAAAAGTGCTCTGTATGTTTAATACAGATAATAACTGGTGACAATATTTGCAAATCATGCAAAAGGACTAATTTCCTTGTTATACTAGAGCTGTTACAAAAAGTATAGAAAAGACTAACAATATGAAAAAAAAATGGATCAAGAATATGAACAGATGGCACACACATGTGCACATACACAAATGGCCAGTAAATATATGAAGAGATGCTCAACCTCACTCATAATTAAAGAAACTCAAGTATAACAGGAACAAGATGCCAATTTTCACGATCAAGATGGGCCAAGATTAAAGTTGGATATTACCTCTGTAAGCAAACGTGTGGTGAATCAGCAATTCTCAATTCTCCTTGGTGAGAATTCAAGCTAACACAAAAATTTTGAAACCAATTATAACATCTATCAAAAATTTTACTGCATATATCTTTGGAACCAGCAATCCACCCATGGTAATATGATCTCTAAATACATTCAGAAAAATATGCAAAGAAATATATATTTATACAGTCATGGGTTGTTTAGTGACAGGATACATTCTGAGAATTACTTCCTTAGGACCACCGTAGTATATGTGATTCCTTGTTAACCAAAAATTCGTTATGCGGCACATGACTGTGTGTATGTATATACATATAAAGATAAAGATATATACTAGAATGACCATTGAGCTTTCTTTGCAAGAGAAAAACAAACAAACAAACAAACAACACCCACCCCTAGAAAAAACAACAAAACCAAATAGAGACCTGGTTGAATAAATTGTGCATTCATATATTGGCATACTGTAGAGCCACTGAAAAGAATGAAGTGGATCTATGTGAGGTGATAGTGAAGCCATCTCCAAACTATTATTAGATGAAAATAAGGAAATTAGAAAATAGAATATATAGCCTGATCTTATTTGTGGTGGTGTATATCCAACATACTCCTCTGTACCTGTTGTATTTTATACCACGGAGATATTTATTTTACTTTAGTTTAGCTTATCATTTGTAATAAATCACTCCTGGTGAGTTTGACCAGTTGCCAGGTTTGGAAATTACTATTATGCTATCCAACTTGATTAAATACTACACTGTTACAGTTAATCATACATCTGTTTAATACAGAACTATCTCACTGGGTTGCTAAAAGATTAAATGAGATAATATAGGAGAAAGTACTTTTTGCAACTCTAAGCATTCGAGTTGTTTAACATTTTGACCTCTACCATACTAGCAAAATCCTACAAATAGGGAATATAAAGGTAAATAAGGCAGATGACCTTGAAATGTCTACACTTCAATAAAATAAATGTGTAACAAAAAGTGGAATACAGTACAACTAGCAGTACAGAAGAGGCAAGCAAAAATTTCCATGGGAGCATGGTTTGTTGTACATAGGGAATATTTAATACAAAAATTCTCAGGAATTCCTCAGGCTTATAAAGGGAAAGAGGGAATTTATGGTAAAGGAAAGATCCCATTCGATGGATGTATGAATGCGTAAAAAAACAAGGTTTGCTCATGGAAACGTGAATAGTTCTATGTAGTTGACACATGGAATGTACCATCAATTTTTCTTAAAATTTTTATTCAACAAAATACACAACACTACTGATCACATTTGAATCTTTTCTGATAATGCTGGAAATATTTTCATATCCTGTAATTCCATGGTATCATCTTATGCATGTTGGCATAATTATATGAAAGAAGCAAAAGGGTTAATATAGCCAGTGATCAGGAAGGTGGGCAAATCAGTTTCATGAAATCCTTGAAACCTAGCTTCTGAGGAACCTTTTATTTGTTTTTCATACAAATCTATTAGGGGGAAAACAATGATTATATTTATTACATGCTTATGCTTACATTATTATACATGCAGTCATCTGGACACAATGAGCAGTAGAGAATAATTAATAGTAAACAGAGAGCATTTTGGGGAAAGATGATGCTAATGGGAAGAATATTTGTGAGTCTAATTATGTTTTTAAGTAGAAAGTATTTTCCATCTTTTTCTGGCCCATTAGAAAACATTTTGACATTGAGAAAATACTTTCAAAGTGTAACTCATTTTTGCTTGGAATGTTTTGTATTTCCAATTCATATAAATGATTATTTCCTTCTTCTCTCTGCTCCCTCCCCCACTTTATTTTGGCATTGTTAGTGTAGCTGTTATATGTGCTCTGTGGCTGAAGTCAACAGGAAAGTTACTTTTTCATTTAACAATGCTATGTAAACTTGCAAATTCACCTAAGAATTTTTAGTTTGGGGTTACTATGTCAAAATGTTTACTACTTGGGTAACTCCAGCTTTGGCACTTCAGTAAGTAGGATCCAAATCTGCAGGTCAAGGCTCACGACTATTCCTCTTTTCTAGAGTAGAACCGCCATTAGATGGTTCTTGGCTGAACCAAAATATGTTTCCAAAATACATTTTCAAATTCACATTACAGAAAATTTTAATAAAATATATTAATCCATTACTAGGCATTCCAATATTACTTGCCCTCTTTCTACGTGAAGGTGGTTAAGGAATATAGACTCTATAATAGCAATTCTACATGATGCTTACTTACATTGACCAACCGGCTGCTATTGCCTTGAAAATGAGGCTACCGCCAATAGTACTAAAGCTATTTGGTATTGACCTTCAATTCTGCATATATATTTTTTCATTTATTTATTCCCCTTGTATTCTAAAAATGGTTTCAAGCTGTTCTCTTTCAATTAGCTGCCTTCCTGTGTTTTGAGAAATAAGAAAATGAACTAAAATTTGGTAAAGCCTTTCCAGAAAGTTTTAATAAAACGAGTTCTCTTTTAAATATGCACCCCTTTCCTCTCTCTTTCATATCACTCTTAAGTAACAAAGCTCAAGTAATTCTACATTAGAATTTTCACATTTTAAATTAATATGTATTTGAGCCAACTTCTATTTAGGAAATCAAAGATCCATATTATTACAGAAGATGTAATTGCTAGTCATTCCAGCTTTGTTTGTTTGTTTTTCAGATATTCTTGAAACTTCACGCTTTGTTTTGAGTTATAGAATTCAGTATTAGTAAAATGGGATTATTTTTCTCTTATTTTAAAATAGCAACTAAAAGGTTTAAAACATAGGAGACAAAAAAAAAAATAGTGTTACCATTGAGATCTGAGCATCCATGCTGTAAGGTATTCTACATCATAAAGGTGAGATACTGGCTGGTTAGAACGAAATTCTGCTTCTCCATAAACATACAAATTCTATACTCAGCTTCTACTCCAATTGCACAGATATCTACTTTAATCCTGCCTTCTTCCAGATTATCAGAAATTTTTTAGTATATCTTTTCAATTTTCCTGTTGCATTTTTTATTTCTGGAAAAATTATTCAAAGTATATCCCAAAATGGAGTTTGCAGTCAGCACAGTGAGAACTAAAATTAGCAAATAAAGAAGCTCTAGAAGTATAATTTTCAGGGACACTATGAGATCATAGAGATAGAACTCATTCTGATGAAATAAGTCAGATACAAGAAGTCAAAATTCACGGGAGGTTGTTAACGCAAATGATCCCAACTAGCCACCTTGATAGTTGAGGTAAACCGTAGGATGAAAATAATGGAGCTATGACTCCCAAACAAAGCATAATATACAGAATGAAGAATCCAACTCATCTTTTTATCTTGAAATAACTAGGAATCAGTAAAATGAGAAAAGTAACCTTCAGTTCCTTAGGGTATATCATAGAACAGAAATAGAGATGAGCAAGGTCCCAGAATAGATGTCAAGCAGTGTTGTATACAAAGAGCCTTGATTAATTTACAAGCACTGTGAGAAAACTTGTGGGGACTTTGAGAAATAATTAAAAGGAAAAAAAGATGGATCCTGAAAATTTACTAGATTCTGAAATTACTTAAATGGGGACTCAAAGTTAGTGAATGTAATGTAGCCTTATTGTTTTATAAAGCTTGGTGAGAAGACAGGCACTTAGACAATATGTGCAGGACGATGTATGAGATTGCCAGCTAGACTGATATATTGAAGATTCAAGGCTAGATCTCTGTATTCAGAGGTTCGACAATATAGTTGATTTTTTTTTTCCTTACCAACAGTAATTTATTTCTTTCTTCCCAAAACAGCCTGAGTATGTAGTCCATTGCTGGTATGGTAGATTGATGATATCAGAGATCCATGCTCCCTTCCATTTCTGTTTCTCTGCCATCCCTGGGGGCTTACTCCAAACTGCGTATGACTTCTTATACAGTCCACATTTCAGCCTGTGAGACAGAGAGAAAGAAAAAGGAAGGGAGACAAACCTCTTCCCTTTTAAGAGATAATCTAGAAGTTGCATCCATAACTTCCACTAACATTTCATTGTCCAGAACCTAGTCATAGGACTACAGCTAATTGCAAGGAAGCCTTGTAAATACAATCTTTAGTTGAATAGTCGTGTAGTCAGCTTTAATTATTCAAGAGGAAAGCGTGAAGGAGACTCTTTCCACATGCAAAAACATTATCTTTAGTATCTAACAGGTGCCAGGATGCCAGGTGCTTAGTAGATCTCACTTGATTTTCACAACTCTGCAAAGCACACATTTAATAGATAAGGAATCTGATACCCAGAGGAGATAAATGACTTCCCCAAGTCCACATAGAAGTTATATGACCAGGGATCAAATGATGCTCTATCTAAATCTAATAAAATCTGTGATCTTGCCAGCATGACACCCTATTTCTAAAATAGAATGTTGGGGTGATCATCTGCTTGGTAAGTTTCATTGTGCGTGATCCATTTCTAGGGTATTATGATATTTAAGAATAAAAGAGGAATAGAAGAGATGTCAGCCTTTTACCACTAGGATAAAAAACAAACTCTTCTATTTTTTTTACTATTCTAAAGCCCTTGATAAGGTCTTAAGATGCAGGGACAATGTATTTCCATCAGGCAATCAATATACACTCTTCCCAATCATATGAACCAAAAGCCTATGATGACTGTAATTTTTTTCACTGTTAGTGATGCCAGCATACAGGAGCGTATGAGCTTGACTGTGAGCTCTTTTAAGGGGATTTGTACCTAATTTACCTCTGTAATTCCAATGATTAACACACCTGGTCCTTAGTAAGGACTCAGTATTTGTTCCTTGAAGCAAATTGGATATCAGAATTTAAGACAACAGGGAAAGAATGTATTTGCTTATTCAACTTATTGTGAAAATAACACTTAATAGGTATTTTCCTCACAGCAGTGCAAAAACGTATTACATTTAAAAAACTGAAACAATATTTTTAATTTTAAAGTTAAATTCAGGAGAGTTCATTCTGTTCATTCAATATGTATTTCATAAGATATTTTAATTTCTTGTACTCCAGTGTTTTGTTTGTTTTATTTTGGTTTTGAAACAAAATTAATTTTCTTGTTCAATTTTTTGTTTGATTACAGGAAGATATACTTTTGTTTCCTCGACAGCTATATAGTAATGATATATTTCCCCTGCCTCTGCATTTTGCTGATGATTTTTCAAAAGTGTAATATCTTCTCATCAAATAATGACTAAGGCTTGAAAAAGAATCAAATTCAAAAACATAATTCTTATTTAACTTTTCAGGAAGCAACCCTACCACCCCACAAAGCACTATAAGGAAGATAAAGTGAGGGGGGACATCTGCTGTGTTTTTCTGGATGCTTATTCATTATTTATCTTACGTATTTTGTTTGGATTCTATTTAACTGTTCTTCCACATTTTTGTTATGTATTTAGTGTATTAAAAAGAAGAGAAATGTCATTATATATTTGTCCAAACCCATAGAATGTACAACACAAAGAGCAGATTATATGTAAACTATGGACTTTGAGTGATGATAATGTGTCAATAGAGGTTCATCAATTGTAATAAATGCAATACGCTTATAAGGGATGTTGATGATGGGAGAGGCTAGGCATGTGTGGGGGAAAGAGGGATGTGGGAAATCTCTGTCCTTTCTCCTCCATTTTGCTATGAACCTAAAACTGCTCTAAAAAATAAAGTCTTTATTGAACAAAAGAAGTCCAGAGTAAGAGCTATGAGTCCTGAGTTCCATGTTTAGTCCTGCTGCTAATTTACAGGGTATTGTTCACAAATCATAAAAGCTCTAGGCCTCTGTTTCCTCATCTGTAAAATGAGTACTGTATTAGTTTTCTATTGATGTGTAACAAATTATTACACACCACACACTATTAGCTCATAATTTCCATAGGTGAAAAATCTCATCACAGCTCAGGATCTCGCCAGGTTGCAATGAAAATGTCAGCTGGGCTGCATTCTCATCTTCAGGCTTGACTGTGGAGGAATCTGCTTACAAGCTCATTCAGATTGTTAGTAGAATTCATTTCCTTGTGGCTATGTAACTGAGGGACCCATCTTTGTATTGACTGTTGAATGGAGGCTGTTCAGAGGCTACCCACAGTTCCTTGCCATGTGGCCCTTTCCTTAGGCACATTACAACAAGGCCATTCACAACTATTGGCTTCTTCAAGGAAAGTAGGAGAATCTCTCTTTCTCTGGCTTGCTACAATGGACTCGTATAACTAAATGTAATCATGAGAGTAAAATCCCATCACCTTCTCATTACTTCTGTTACTTAGATGCAAGTCACGGGTTGTACCTCATTCAAAGAGAAGGGACTCTAAAGGATATAACTCATTAGAAGTCAGCTGATCATGTATCTGACACATGGTATTAACCCAGATAACTTTAGGTTTTCTTCCAGCTGTATTATTTTCTGATTATTGAGGGAATAATGAGAATTGTCTGGTTCTTATTTTTTAAGTTACAGGCTCTGCACTGTCAAAGTTCAGAAAGGTCTCTGATTTCCTTACAGTTTTAGAACTTATGAAGCCACAGTACCTACTATTTTTCATGGAACCAAAATGTAAGCAAGAGATTCCTATTAGAGAGATCCAGGGACCCTAAAAGGAAAAGAAAAGCCAAGCCAAAGTATCCTGAGAAAAGCCCAGGCTTGGCTACAAGAGGAGTCAAATGGGAGACAATGAGCAAAAATTGAGATAAAGATCATTAAGATGAGAGTGAAATTAAGAGCCCAATAAAAACCAGTGAGGGCTGGGAGGTAGCTTCATGAAACCAATTCATTTTTGTTATTAGCTTCAATGAAGTGCCAGATGAAGGGCTTGTGTCAGCTTAAAGTGGTGATTCTCAGCTTTGACCGCACATTACAAATACCTGAGGAGTTTATAAATACCCAAATGCCCAGGCTGAAGCCTGGTTGTATTACATCTGAATCCCTGAGGAAGAACCCACATCTCATTATTTTTTAAAGCTCCCCAGTAATGTGCAGCCCAGGTTGAGAATCAGTTATCTTCTCTCACTACTCAAAGTGTGGTCTGAGGACCAATCAGCAAGATTGGCATCATCTGGTAATGATCTTCTTAAGAATGCAGGTGCTTATTCCCTTCCCCAGCCCTACTGAATCTGAATCTACAGTTTAACAAGATCCTCAGGTGATCCCTATGTGATTAACCCAGTTCAAGATCTAAGGCAAAGGCAATGGTCCTTAGTGTTACACTTGGCACACAACAGTTTCTCCATAAACTATAATAGAATTTCCCAGCCACCTTTTGACAATTTTAATAAATAATAAGTAAATGAATGGGTTGTACAAAATATACTACTAAAAAGATGGAAAAATAGCAGAATTTTTTTTTAAACTAATAGTGTTAGGGTTGTACTAATTTGTTTAGACCTTTGAAGATAAACATTTGACTTTCTTGTGCCAACGCTGATTGATTAGTAGTGGCTGCCTGGAGAACTGTGTTGAGAAACAACATTTTAAGATTGCTTTGTCTAAGAAGAGTCCCTTGATACATGAACCACGTCTCAGGGAATGACAGTTGTCATGCTGCATATTTGCTGAGCCTACTCTGGATTTTTTAATCTGACAATAACACTCATCACGGAGCCCACCCATTCTGAAGACACCTGACTGGGATTAGGCATACACAGTCCTGCAACAAGTCCATATGGATTAACTCATTCATAGATTCATTCATTTAATGCTTCAATAAAAATTATGCACCAGTTTTATGTCCCAGACACTCACTGTGCTGGGAGCCAAATTCTTATAAAATTAGAGTAACCTCACCTTTGGCACCTGTGGCATAAACATGTCACAGCTCCCTGAAATTCCACGAGCAAAGCAGCCTCCCATCACCATCAATCACGTTCAAGGCCAATGAGGGAACTCTTTCACTAGAAGGTCTTGATTACCCTGCATGTCAGAGAGATGCTTAGCAGGAACCAAAGATGTGATGTTTCAATTCAAATAGCTTCTTTCTGAATTTTAAAGAACTGTAGAGTTAAAATAGATTCATTGTGACCTTCAGAAAAACCTTTCCATGAAAATTCAGTTCAAGCACAGATTAGAAACAGTTAATCCATAAGGAAAATATCATAAGTTATAAAGCTGTTTTATAACAAATCTTATGTGAAAAATTGTCAAAGGATGATGATTTCATCTTTTTAACATTAAGAAAATAAAATGCCTGTAGGTGGCTATCTTTGAAGCCCCAACTGAGGGAGATTTTCCACTTATATTCCTTTCAGTAATAAAGAGCTGCTGGAAGCACTATAGAAATGTTGTTTTTTAGTGACTTTGCCAATATACCTGGGCTTTCTTTCAAGCAGTGAGTGATTCTTTTGAATTATGTTTCAGCCCAAAATAGGGTTACTCATAAATTACATGAATTCCTTCCAGCTCGTAATTGCCACGTTCTGGTCTTGGATTTTAGTCATCAAGCTTAAGAAATTTTTATTTTCTCTAAATCTCAAATTGATATAGCCTTCTTCCCATTCTTCCCTCCCAGCACTAACCACCCCCTCCTCCCCTTATCAGCCTTATATAACACAGATACACACACACACACACACACACACACAGCAAGGAATTGCACTGTCCGTCACCGTGGGTTGCACACAAAAATTGTCTCATAATGACGAGCCATTACTGAACATGAGGCTTCAATTTGAATGAAATTCTTTCTTATCACATTAAAAAAAATCCATTAGCAGTTACTGATAAGCTCAGGATGACTTCTGAAGAAAGATCGGTGTAGGTTCAAGATAAATACATGGAAACTGACAAGCAATTAAGCAGGAAATTTTTTTGGTGCCACTTGTCAGATTTTTGAGGAAGATATTTTAGGAAAACTGCTTTTGATAAACAGAAAAATTATACTGCCATTTCTCTCTGCCTTTCTACTTCTGAGCTCTGGTATGTTTTTCTGAAACATACAAACAATGTAGCCATTAAATATTGGAAATTAAAAGAAATTAGAGGAAATTACACATATTCAGTAAATAATTTGTATGTAGATGAACAAAATAACTTTTAATTTATAAGAGTAAGAAAACAGTACTCACCTGGAACAGTAAAATTCCATCAGAGATAGCTGATTTCCACAGTAAAAATGTTGCATTATTTTAGGCAAAATAAAGAGCTCAATTAACATTCAGTACATTTCTGTTTTTGTATACAAGATTAATGGTGTTCATACATGGAGAAAATGCTACCTGACTGGTTCATTTGTGAAATATCCAGTTTCCACCACCACCAAATTTCTGTGCCTTCTAGCCTTAAATTCCATATGGATTACCATGCTGGAAGAACTTCAGTGGGAGATGTTGGACAACGTGGAATACCTTGAGGATACCAGATAATTGGACGGAGATGACAACTAATATGAATGTTGTCAACTTTCCAATTTTCTCCAAAGCTGATTCTGAGTTTCATACACCATTTATTATACATAGAATAGGAAAGAAAATAACTTTAGGAAAACAAATATTAACATAGTACAGTTTGATCTTGTAGTTATATCACCAATCTGCAAGAAATGTACGACTTTCCTTGAAAACTCTATAGTGCCAAACCAATTGAAATTGAAAAAACGCTGGGGCCGGCCAGTGGTGTAGTGGTTAAGTTCACACACTCTATTTCAGTGGCCCAGGGTTCGCAGATTTGCATCCTGGTCTCAGACCTAGTACCATTTGTCAAGCCACACTGTGGTGGCATCCCACATAAAATAGAGGAAGACTGGCACAGATGTTAGCTCAGCAACAATCTTCCTTAAGCAAAAAAAAAAAAGAAAAGAGTAAGATTGGCAACAGATGTTAGCTCAGAGCCAGTCTTCCTCACACACACACACACACAAAAAAATATTTTTAAATACCCTAGAGTTATGTTTTCTCCAGACATTTGGCCTTCTGTATGTCCAGATGTATTTGAGTATCAAAGTGTTTGCTACCTTTATACTATTTAGGATAAAAGTTTTATTGCCCTTTTCTTAGCTCTGCTGAGACGGTACAATGTCTACATCTTCATTCTACTGCTCAAGTTCAGCAGACAGCTATTCAAAGGCAAATGCACACTATTTGTTACTATAACGTGAACCCACAGATACAGTACTTTCTGTCTCCTGCCTAAAAACCTAGGCTAAAGGAACCCCTTTTTACCCCTAAACCAGTCACCTTATCTTAGATGTCAAGCTCTTCAAAGATGTTAAGAGAAGCAAAGAAAGCATAGAAATGCAAGGAAAAGAAAAAGGCTTTCCTTAGGTCCTAAATTATCCACATTTTGGTTTTTCCAGGATAGGGAAAGTAATACAATAAACTGCCTTACCTCACTAATTGCAGAGTTAAGATTCACTCTTTTTCTCTCTTGAAAAACAATACAAAGGAGAATAATGCAAAAGCAGCAGATTCTAATAGAGAATAAGAACTGTGTTCTGAGCTGTTGTAATCTATTGCTTAGTAATGTGCTTGAACTTGACCTACGTCATTCCACATTCCTAGAGGGCTTGATTTCCCACAGAAGTTGGAGTATGTCATTAACATCTCCAAAATATGGTGAAATTGATCTTCAGACAAATGATTAGGACATAAGTCTGAGAAGGAGGCTGTATTTTTTTTTTAACTGAGGCTGCTGTAGTCAAATTAACACGTGTTCACAAGATCTAATATTAAAATGGCTAATATAGCACTACCGAATATGTAACTTATCTTCCTTACATTCTTTTCTTGTGCATCAGGAAGTTTTATTCTTTCCCCACTGGCTGGCTGTATGGATGGATAGACGGATGGATGGATGGATGGAGCATATAGTATATATTAGAATGAGTTGATGTACACAAACCTGCATCCACGTTGAACTCGATGAACTTGAATCTGGACTGGGGTAACTTAAAAGCCTACACCAAACCCAGGTCGCTCGGAGTCCCAAATACCCTGGAGAATTCAAAAAACTGTGAGGCCTACAAAAATTATATTGGATCAGGACAGCTAAGCCACATCGCACCTGTACCAAATAGTTTCGCAAAGCTCCGGATCTTTCCAAAGTAATTTGGCAGAAATTCTGATTGAAGTAGAACTTTTAATAGCATTTTGGAACAATTATTTCAAACGAGGTTTTTGTTGAACATTAAAAGAGGCAGACAATAATTTTCCGTTAATGAAGTGTTTGACTCCAGTTCTTTTCAGTGACTTCTGTTTCATTTCATCTGACTCCTGTATATTGAAATGGCCAAACACTAATTTAAGCAGTGTCCATTTTTTTCTTATGATATAAAATGCTAGGGTAAGAGGATGCGCCAAAACAATTACCCACTAACCAGGCTTTTAAATTCTTATTTTGAAATAATGAATTTGGCAGACATACTCACTACTGCAGGTAACTATAGATTTCAAAAACTCCTTTTAATAGTCTTGACAGTTTCTTTTAACTTTTCCCAGCTATCTCAGCTTTGCAGAAAAAATGAGTAAGGATGCTGATACTGAATAAAGAACTGGAATCACTAACCCACCCCAGCACATCATTCATGCTTCTCAGAGATTAAGGCGAAGGATTAGGGTCTCAAGAAAGAAAGATAATGTAAAAGAATAGATGTCAGATTGTGGAACAGAAGAGTTTTGAAGATATTCCGTTGGTTATGAAATCTGACAAGACAGAAAGTTTAAAACATGTGAAGTATATAGATTCTAAATGCTTTCTTGACATAACTGAAATAAAATATAGTGCTTTCATTCAACCGAATATCTATATTCACAATTCAGTATAAGATACAGCTCTAAAGAAACAATGATGGTCAAATATTATTTGATGCATTACGGGTTTTCATTCAAAGATCTCCTTTGATGAGCATTTATTAAATACTCATCACATTAAACACTGCTTTACATGAAACAAGTCAAAACAGAAACCAAGTTTTTGTTATGCTAAAATGTACCATGGCTGTCTGTGTGAATCATCAGTAAGTTTTACACACATTCTCTTAGTATTAAAGTTGTGCTCATTTTCTATTGCTGCTGTTATAAATTACCACAATCTAGTGGGTTAAAACAACACGTGTATTATCTTACAATTCTATAGGGTCAGAAATCCAACATGGGCCTCACTGGACTAAAATCAAGATTTCAGCAGAGTTGCATTCCTTTTTGGAGGCACTCAGGGAGAAGATACTTCCTTGCAGTTGTAGGACTGAGGTCCCTGTTTTCTTGTTAGATATCAGTGAAGGGCAATTTCCAGCTTTTAGAGACCACTCACATTCTTTGGCTAATAGCCACCTTCCTTCATCTTCAAAGCCAGTAGGTCTGCTGACATACTCTTCTTCCTCTCTTCTCTTTGAAGGGCTCATGTGATTAAATTAGGTCCACCTAGATGACCCAAGATAGTCTCCCCTTCCCAATGTCCTTAACTTAATCACATCTGCAAAGACTCTTTTGTCAAGTAAGAAAATATATTCACAGCTTCAGGATAAGGCACCAGATTCTGGCTAACAGGAAAAGCAGTATGAAGTATACACTTCACAAACATCCAGAGGCATTCTTACTAGAGAACATGTATTATTACTCAGAAAAAGTTTTAATTTTTTTAAAGATATAATTTAATTAAATTGGAGGCTCTTTTATTGTTTTTTTTTCTTTTTAAAATGTCTTGAGTTTCTGATGAAAAAGAGGTTTTGCAGATGTAAAACGTTTTCATTTCTTCTGGGCATAACCTTTTCCCCATGACAGATCCTACCCGTCCTTCAATACCTACCTCAAATATTGCCAATTTAGTTTTTAAAAGATTTCTGAAGGAATATAATCATTAATACAGAGGAATTTTAAACTAGGGAAAATATTATTTGAAACGTTTATTTTTAAACTGACTAAAATAAATAATTTTCTAGAGAAAGTAATCGATCCAAACATAAAATTAGGATGGCTGTCAAAAACCGTTTCCAAAAGAGGCCTGGGGCCTACATGATTTAGAGACTGGTTTTTTCAATGCTTAAACTTGAGAAAAATGGAAAGCTACCCAATTCATTTTATGATATTTACATATTTGTGGATTCCAAATCTGACAAAAATAACCCCCCTTGTCTTAGTCAGTTTAGGCTGCTATAACAAAAATATCATAGAGTAGGTGGCTTAAACAACACTTATTTCTCACAGTGCTGGAGGCTGGGAAGTCCAGGATCAAGGCACAGGCAGATCTGGTGTCTGGTGAGAGTACTCTTCCTGGTCGGCTATTTTCTCTTTGTATCCTCACATGGTAGAGAGGAAAATCATTTCTCTTGTATCTCTTCTTATAAGGGTACTAATCCCATTCATGTTGTCTCCACCCTCATGATGTAATTACCTCCCAAAGGCCCCACCTCCTTATACCATTATGATACAATTGAGGGTTAGGATTTCAATGTATGAATTTTGGGGAGTTACAAACATTCTATCCATAACACAACTCCCAAAGATTATAGCTAAATCTCACATATGAATACAAGTGCTAAAATACTAGCACCTCAAATTCATCACTATAGTACAGGAATATTACAGTGTGAACAAGTATAGTAAATACAAAACAAAAGGATGTTTCAATATTAAAATAATTTATCACTTTAATAAATCAAAAGGTAAGAAGCATGCAATTCTTTCAGTAGATTGTTAAACATTTATTAATTAAATGTTCTATTTATTCTTCTAATAAACTAGTAAATTTTTCTCAAAGCTACCAGTTTCATGGTTAATGTTGGAATACGAAAGCAGGGTGATCAAATATAGCTAATTATCATTTTTCCCCAGTGATCTCAGGTGCATACAGGATGAAATATACGTGCTCCCCAAGTGTTAGAGTATTCTCACAAATGCCAGAAACAAGATAAAGTTGTCTCCAACTATCAATATTACTTAGCATTGTTCTGGTTGCTCTAGTCAATAAAATAACACAGGAGGAAAAAGATTATGTGTAAGCTCTGTCAGCTGTTTTGTATAGTTGGAGTTACAGTGTCTCTGATCGTTATACAGTAGTCCCCCGCTATCTGTGGGGATTATGTTCCAAGACCCCCAGTGGATGCCTGAAGCCACAATTTGCACTGAACTCTATATATACTATGTTTTTTCCTATATATACATAGAATAAAGTTTAATTGATGAATTAGGCACAGTAAAAGATTAGCAACAATAACTAATAATAAAGTAAAATAATTGTAGCAATATACTGTAATAAAGGTTACTATAGATCCTTGTAACCTGTGTATAATTTTTTTCTTTCCTTATTAAGTTGAGAACTTTCATTTTTTCACTTAATGGAAGCACTTTATGGCTTTTCTTTGGCATATTTGAATTGCCAGCATCACTACTCTTGCACTTTGGGACCATTATTAACTTCAATAAGGGTTATTCTAACACAGCACCCTGATACCACAACAGTCGATCTGATAATCAAGATGGCTTCTAAGTGACTAACAGCTGGATGGTGTACACAGTGTAGATACACTGGACAAAGAGATGATTCACGTCCTGGGCAGGATGGAGTATGATGGTGTGAGATTTCCTCATGCTATGCAGAAGAGTGTGTAATTTAAAACTTACGAATTGTTTATTTATGGAATTTTCCATTTAATATTTTGGGACTGTGATTGATCCCAGGTAACTGAAACTACCAAAAGTGAAACTGGATAAGGAGGGGCTACTGTAACTACATTTTAATCGTGTTGTTTTTTACTTAAATTCTGGTTTGTTTCAGATGTTAAAATTGCCACATCATTTTACCATTTACTCATATTTTCTTAGTGTATTATTTTCCAATTTATGTTCAATCTTTCAGAATTCTTTTGTATTAAAAGGATTTCTCATAAAAAAATATTGTTTCATCATATTTAATCCAATATGTCTTTTTCATTTACTCAGTAATTCTAACTCATTTATATTTATTGTAATTGCACCCCTATTAATGCTTATTTTTGCAAGCCTTTATGTCATATGTATATATTTTAATTTACTATGTTTTATTTTTATTTATTTTATTTATTCTTGCCTATATCTCAATGCACAGATAAGTTTTCTTCTGCTGGTTTTATAGGTATAGATTTTATATGTATCCATTCATTTTCAACAAGTATTTGCTGAGCACTTATACATGCCAAGCACTGTTCTAGGCAGTAGAGATGAATCAGTGAAATAATTGAAAAAGATGACTGACAAGAATGAGAAGACCTACAACAACAAATAAATAAACAAACTCAGAAATATATATTACATCAGGACTAATCATTGCTATAGAGAGAAATAAAGCTAGAAAAAGGGGTCATGGCATGTTGAGGGGGGGACATGCTATTGTTTTAATAGGGTGCTGAGCCTTTCCAAGAATGTGACATTTCAGCAGGAATCTGAAGAAAGGGAGAGAGTGAGACACTCAAGTATTTGGGGAAATAGGAGGTATGACAGCCAACAAGGAGTCCATGTAGCTGGAGTGATGTACAAAGGGGGATTGCAATAGAAAAATTGAGAGTGAGAGAGTCAGAGACTAAATTATGAATTCTCCTGAATTAACTCTTCTTCCTGGAGTATACCCTCCAAGAGTGCTATCTAACATTATCTACGTTTGGTAAATTTTAGAACTAGATGCCTCATAACATCCTCTCAGTCTACTTCCTATCTCAACCAGTACAACAACAGCAACTTATTTTCAGATAAAACTAAATAATTGCTTAGCTTGATTGCACCACATATCTCTCACTTTCTGCCTCTGGGTTTCTCTGGCATCACAATAAGCAATATTTTCAGATACCCACCTGGCACTCCTGCACATGAAGCCTGAAGGTGACAAGGACTTAAAATCTCATTGGTTAACCATTTTTGATTAAGAGAAGAAAGTCAGTATTTATATGTTTCCTTCAAGTAACCCTTGGGTAAGTAATTCCAAAGTGCATTCTACACAGCTTCTCTGAGGGTCTGGCTGAGATCTA